AGGCGCCATGGATGAATAACTCTCTTAAACGCCTTATTCGCCGCCGGCAAAAGGCATTGGCCAACAACAATCCGGCTGAGTACAAACAGCTCCGGAATAAAGTGAACAGAGATCGGAAGGCGTGTCGAGCAAAGTATTATGATGCCAAAGTCAAAGATCTTAAGGCTTGTAAACCTGCCCAATGGTGGAAGGAAATCAAACAGCTAAGTGGTTTTTCTAAGGTCGAGCGCGCGAGCCCCATCGCAGACCTTCTACATCTTGCCGATGAGGGGGAAGATCCTAGACATTTGGCCAATGTTATTAATGACGCTTTTTTGTCACCAATGACCGCTTTCACCCCTCTAGTCACGCCTGATGCACACGCGCGTGCGCGCGCGTGTGCATGCCAACAAGATCTTCCCCGTCCGATATCTGAGTTTTCAGTCTTTGAGAAACTATCGGCGCTTAATACGAACAAAGCATCTGGACCTGATGGAATCCCCTCTTGGGTATTAAAAGAAAACGCGGACTTATTGGCTGCACCAGTGGCAGACATCTTGAATTCTTCCTTTTTGGAGCGTCGCCTTCCAACTTCGTGGAAGAAAGCGGACATTACACCCCTCCCGAAGACTTCACTTGTTAGCGATGTGAACAAACACCTGAGACCCATTTCGTTGACTCCAATTCTCTCCAAAGTCGGGGAAGAGTTTGTCGTTGACGGCTACATCAAGCCTGCCGTCCTTGCGAAGATTGACCAGAACCAATATGGAACTGTTCCGAACTCCAGCACAGTGCATGCCCTAATCAGCATGCTCCACAACTGGTATAAGAATACTGACGGCAACGGTTCTACAGTGCGCGTGGTGCTCTTTGACTTTAGGAAAGCATTCGATCTCATCGACCACGCCATTCTTATGGCTAAACTTACTGACTATGAGCTACCACCTTGGGTGCTGGACTGGATTGCAGATTTTCTTACTGACAGGAAGCAACGAGTGAAACTCGCCCACGATTGCTACTCGGATTGGGGATCTGTCAGGGCAGGTGTCCCGCAGGGAACCAAATTGGGGCCCTGGCTCTTCCTGGTAATGATAAATGACATCAATGTCAATGGCGTCAACCTTTGGAAGTACGTCGATGACACATCGATGGCCGAGACAGTCCACAAGGGCCAACCAAGTGGAATCCAATTTGCTGTAGACGACCTAGTTAGGCAAGCCGAAATAGATAAGTTCCAATTGAATGAGACCAAGTGTAAAGAGTTGCAGATAAGTCTCTCAAGGTCTGTAGATCCTTTCGAAGCAGTTACTATTAACAACAAACCAATTGAGGTTGTAACTAGCGCAAAACTTCTTGGTCTCACAATTTCAAACAATCTAAAGTGGAACGCTCACATAGAGAATGTTATCAAAAAAGGAGCCTCTAGGCTATATCTATTAAGGCAGCTTAAGCGTGCAAAAGGAGATCCTGCGCAGCTACTTTGTTTCTATACTACGTGTATCCGGCCCATGTCTGAATATGCCTGCCAAGTTTTCCACAATGGTCTGCCTGAGTATCTCTCTGGAGAGCTAGAGAAAATTCAGCGCCGTGCACTTAGAATTATTTTCCCAGATTTAGGCTATCAAGAGGCTCTCAAAGAGTGCAATATTTCCACCCTCCATCAACGGCGCCAATGGCTGACAGAGCGCCTATTCAATGAGATTAAGGACAACAGCCTCCACAAATTACATGGCCTTTTACCGCCACGTAATCTTAGTACTGTAGCCCTAAGGAGAAAGCGCGCTTTTAACGTACCTCTTTGTAGAACAAATAGACTAATGAATAGTTTTATCATGCATAACGCGGCTATTTTCTAATGGTTTTATTGTAAATTCGCGGCTATTTTCTTAAATTTCATGACGTAGTATCTTTGTTCCTTTGTTTTATTTATTTACTGTTATTGATTTATAATAGTTAGTCTTAGTATTCAACGTATTGTACAGTCCGTAATCCAGCCCTTGGGCTGCAATGGATTTTTAATAAAGCTATCTATCTATCTATCTATCTATCTATCTATCTATCTATCTATCTATCTATCTATCTATCTATCTATCTATCTATCTATCTATCTATCTAACATTACTTTCACTGTTTGTTTTCGTTTTGTGGCGAGAGCAGTACACCCGTTTAATTCTGACTGGACGCATTTATCGGGCCGTTTCAGGGATTGGGAATTCTCGTTTTTGAATTACCTGTTAAACAGCCAATTACAAAGGGTGGATCTCGAATCCACTTGTGCTTGAAGGAGATGATGAGCATAGTTTAAAATATCTGCTGTTTTCTGTGGCAAAAAAGTAATATTCGCGGTACGACAGAGGTTCTCTTCAATGGCTGTTAAGCACATGCACCCTCTAACAGAAAATGATAAAGTTGTCTCTTTGCCAAAAAAAATCAATTCTGAAGTTCCACAATTTGAGAAATATCCATGTTTTTCAAAACTTTCGTAATACAATCTAAGACAACCTAGTTCCCCCCTAGAGACTTGCTTCTCCTGTCTCGTTTGGTCAGCCTCCTCCTTGGATCGCACCTCCCCGTCAAAAAACCTGGCTACAGGCCTGGCCTTGTACGGTTGTTATTTCTATCGCTTCTTTGTTTTAATAGTTTGGTTATCTCGTTTCATGATCTGCTGTTAATGAGGTGAAAAAAAGCTTGTGAAGCAAATGATCATAAGCTCTTCAACTAACGCTTTTCCACATCACGATCGAAGCGCGTAATTACGTATCACATATTTTATGGCTCCTTTCAAATTATTTCTACAATTTATATAAAAATGTTTTCCTTTTCCGTGGCCATGAACCTCAAAATAGAAAACAAAAAAAATAATAACATTTGGGCTTGACTCGAGGATGGCTCGTGCCTCGCTTGTGGTTGACTCGGGCTGGTGAAATGACCAAACTCAGCTGACGTGGCGTAAAAGGTAGTTCAGTTTAGGTTTTGCGGACGGGTTCCTTCACCAAAAGGCACTGAAGAATAACTACATCACAGCACAGTACCTTATCAATACCGTGGCCAAGGAGCACGTGCGTAAAAGGTAAAGTTTTCGCGAAAATTCGTCTGGGACAACATCATTTTCTTTTCATATTAAAGCAGCCGGATAAACAAGTCATGCAGATCCATGCACTATAAGAGACTGCAAGAAAAAGAACATTTATAACTATTGGAACAATTACATATTAACAAAATTTTGCAAAAGAAAATAGTAATTTCCCTTGATTGAGTGGAAGGCAATATGGTCTGAAAATCTTGCGAAAATCAGTTGAGCGATAAAATGTCATAATGTTTTTAATTCCTTCTTCCCAGAAGTGCTATTGTTGCCCTAACTGACCATGAAGACTCTAGCTTTTCTGTTAATGGCCCTGATGTTCGCTGGAAAGGCCGAGGCTCAGCCGTCTTGTCCGCCGTCCTGCTGGGGTCCCTGTAGCCGTAAGTATGGACTCTTCCTAAATAAAATACAGGGGCACCCAACGGAAATTTTCGGGAAAATATCTGTTCGGAAGACGATTTGAGATCTAGAATTTTCGGAGCATTTGTTGTAAAATTTCTTGCTTGCCTGCCTCTCCTAGGATTTTCGAACATCGACAAAATGGTATAATTACCCATTTTTAACGGATTTTGACCCTAAAAAAGGCCACCTAGAATTTTCGGGAGCCTTTTCCTGGGTGAAGTTTTCGAGAAGGTAAGTTTTTATCCCTATAATTTTCGGATCACTAGACTTTCAGCTAGGAAATCCGAACAGATGAAAAGTTTTTAGGGGATAAAAATATGCCTATATCTACCGTTTGAATACTAAACTACGTTCAACAATGCTATGTTAAGTGGTTTTGAACTATATCCTCGTTGGGTGCCCCTGAAAATACACTGGCAACAGAAGGTTACGTCGCTTCTACCGTACCAAGGGACAAGGCCAATAAAAATTCAGATGTTTTTCAAAAGGACAAATCTATTTTCGCACCACGCCAGCGACTGAAAAACAAAACAAAAACAAAAGACTTTGTACTTAGTGACAGACCATTTATCACGAGGCACTACGCACTGAGTGGCTTAGCGGTAAGAAGAATATGATACTTCGAGTATTAAAATATGTATCCGAAATTAAAACTCCGGAAAAATCTTGCAAGGCCTGTTTTTAAGAAATAAATAATACAGGTTGGACAGTAAGGACAGGTTGAACTGACGATAATCTTGTTGATTATAAATTGACTGACAATCGCAGATCACTCGAACTGTTGCTCGAACTATGCACTGTACAATTCAATCAATATATTGGCTTATTTTAAACACTTAATTTGTAGTACTTTTTCCTTACACTACTACATGATTACATGAGAAATTTCTGAAATTTGATTGGCTTACAGCAGTGGTATTTCAGCTTAATTTGAAATGCCTACACGTGAAAATTACAAACCTTTTGTGGGTAGTAGTATAAACAAATAATAATGTGATTTGTACGTGATATTTGGCATAAATACCACGCGTGATATTTCAAAATTGTGTCAAATTTCACTCGCCTAACGACTCGTGAAATTACCTATAACAATTTCGAAATATCACTCGTGGTATTTATGCCAAATATCACTACAAATCATGCTATTACTTATACAAAGCTGCACGACAGCTATTTGCTTAGAAAACTGCATTCAAGTATTTGAAAGAACTGACTTTAGTGTTAGTTCGTAACTTTTGCTCACTTTTTAAAACAACATCAATATCATATCATATTTTATTGTAAGTAGGTTCTTACCTTCTGGAAAAGTTGCGACTAGCTAAAAAAATTTACAAAACGAGTTTTGTTTTACTGCTTTTGTTTAAAATGAAGGTAAATAATCTGAATTGTTGACTTTTTTATCCTTTCATGCAACCGAAAAATCATAGAGCAAATATCGCCACGGACAGGGTGGATTGCCCGATACCAGTCCTCTGATTTGCTACCATGTGACTCAAGAAGCCACTAAAATCGCAGAAAACCTAATTGGTGGTTTATAATGCATATTCTTCTTTCAGAGACTCTGAAAAAGGTGAAAATCTTGTTAGACGAAGTGAATGAGGTAAAACAACTCGTAGGTGAGTAACTATCTGCAAACACGCATCGGGATACCAAATTGAGCCAAATACAAGCCTGTCAAACCTTTGTTGCTCTCTAGCTTCTATTTTTCTTGTACAGTCAAACAGCCCCTCACGGATACCCGCTTATTACAGAAACCTCATTATTACGGACAGTTTGCTTTGTTGTCGGAGAAAGAAAGCCCTTACATTTCTCTAAATTCAACCGCTTAGTGCGGATAGCCCATTATTACGGACTCCTCTAAGGTTTCCGCAGTGTCCGTATTAACAGAGTTTGACTGTACTTCTACCCGAAATCATTTGGAGTCACGTGTTTTAAGGGGTACTGCTTGGCTTGGGCCTGAGAACGTAACGCCTTACAGGGATCTCATATCTGACTAGAATATGGTCACGTGGTACAAAAAACACCTTGCTGGATGGCAAGCAATTGCAACGCACTGGGTCCTTGAAAAGAAAGGATATTAGCTTTTTGAACGATACCGTAACCTCTTTGTTTTCAGTCTTGCCCTCGTTTGCCATCTACCCGGGCATCTAGCACGATGTTTTTTCCACCGTGTGATCGTATTCTGCAAAGGACCCATCATATTAAAGAAAAAGTCGCATTATCTCGTAAGAAACATTCTTTTAAAACGTACCAACTGCTATTCCTGTGTTGAATATAAATTGTGGAATTGTCCATTTTGAGAAATCAAGCTTTTAACGTAGCTAGACATTCGAATTCATCTCATCAAATTTTCAACGCGAAATGCCGAGTAACTTTATTTCAAAGCACGGTAAATTCTGAATAAGCTTCGAGTTCAAGTTCCAGTTCATTTATTCACACTTATTCAATTACAATACAACAACAAAAAGAAAAAAAGAAGTAAAAACAGAGCTAACTATACATTGAATTAAACATAACAAAGGAAAAAAAGTGCGTAGCAGCCAAAGGAGCCAAGCTTTCGAGTTGGTTACTACCACAGATTGGTTACAAGTGGGTGGAGATTATACAGTACTTATAAAAAACTAGTTATGGAGTTATTGGCTAAATTAATCATATTGAAAAGGAAGGGTATATAAGGGTAATGATAACTATTTTAAATTAAATAATTAAATAATTAGAGCTAAATAACAGATTAATGTTGTTCAAGATGCCTGACTGTCAAGTAGAAAGAGTTTATATTCTTTTTTTTAAAACGTTTCAAAGGGAGACACTTAATTTTCATAGGTGTTGCTTCCCAGGTCTGTGATGCAACTACGCTAAACCTTGCTAGGCCATATTAATTAGTTCTGGAAAATGATCTGCACAGGTTTTGATTACCGGCATACCTAGTATTGTATTTATGGACAGCCGAAGCCGGTTGAACTAAGTGATAGAGGGCAGGAGGTGTATCATTTTCTTGTTTAATAAAAAGTGGAGCATTTCATTCTAAAAAATTCAACGGTTGATTTGATCTCTTTTTGTATCAAAAGCCGTGAATCAAACGTTCGTCAAGCTCAATACGGACCCAGTGTGTTTCGGGACCAAGGACGACGCCTATGGTGAATTTCAGGCTTTGAAAGGTGGCAAACTAAGGAAGGTCAAGTTGGTTCATCTGTATGGCTACGTTACCTGTGCTAAACCCTCTCCCATATATTGGTCGCATTGGGGTTGTGGCCTTTTCAAAGCTGGTGACAGTACGGATTTCATAATTGTGGCCTTGACAAACGAAAGCAATAAGATTCTTTTCCCGCCAAGCGAATTGGGTAAAGGCGCCCACGGTTGGCTTTTGGTTCCTGGTTACAACTCTTATTCGACTGAGCTTGTTATGTCGATTTACGACGCTCCTGTGTCGGTTACCGCTGGTCAGAAGCTGCGCCTATGGTACCTCGAGGATTTGAAGAAATCCCATGAATTCGATAACCATGGAAAAGCATGCGCCGACATTTACGGTGAATTCATGTGACTGAACTCTAGATGCTCATGGGGCAACTGGTCACTAAAGGGAATATATATTATCAATAGAAGACAACTCGGACGCAGATAACTTTGGAAGGACACGCGCAGATTAGTTTAGGGTGAATTAAGTTCTTGTAAAATTCCTATTTTGTCTTGATAAGTTGTATAGCAACTATTAACTGACTAAGGGAATAAAATAGAGTTAAATGAATATGAAGGAGAAAAAGCCTTTTTTGATACTATAAATGAATTTGTCATTTCCGTTAATCACTATGTCCTTGAAAATAGCCCAAGTTCGACATTTAAAAGTTCTAACATGACTCTAGGCTTTCTGGTCATATTTCTATACTTGGTTTGGTTTTTTTCAGTGCCCAAGTCTCTTTTGAGCATTGTGAGACAATGGAGTTGCGAAACGTTTGTAAGTTTGTCCATAAAGCCTCAGAGTCATGTTAGAATTTTAATACTATCGAGCGTAGGCTATTGGAGCGGAGAATGGGTAGGACTTATAAACGCAAAGGCTCCCTGAATCGTTTGGAGGGACATCAAAAACATGGCGGACAGCAGAAAAACACCGTTTAAAAACGCTCTCTAGGTTATTTTGACTGGAGAAAACATACCTGGTGCATCGTGGTCTTAAGTATTCTGTATTAGTGAACGTTAGTTGCATTTCTGAAACTGCTATTGCAGTTCGGAAGAAAGCATTTGCAGTGCGCCATGTTTGTTGACCTTCATTGTCCCTGCACACGATCCCAAGAATCTTTGTGGTCACATCTCGTACCCAGTTTTTCACGCGTTTAGAACATGGTGAATAGAGACGATTGCTCAAGTCAGGTCAGCACTATTTAACATCCGTCGAAAAGACCAAGTCATGTCAAGTTCATTTAACTGTACTATAATATGGCTGGCTTCGCGAGAAAGCAAGATGAATCGCATTCCTTGCTCTGTTTGTCTACCAACACAAATAAGCACGCTGTGTCTAACCTGCTCGTTCCTGATCATCCGCTTTTGGCATTTTTCTTATAATGAAACCTTTATTCTCCATTTGCCCATTTCCCTTAATACACCATGTTTTACCTGAAAATTTTGCATAACCATTGTTTTCAGTTTCCTCTGGGTAACACAATTTTCCTATGAGAAACAGAGGACAATACTTATGTAAATGTTTGGGAGATGTGCAAATATCGAATTTACTTAGTCTCTTAAGTCAATTTTGACCGAGTCCTTTCCGAAACTAGACTATTATAACACTATAACAAGATTTTTTTTTAATTTTGTTATTTATTTTTCATCTTTGTTTATCTTCGCTTGCATATAATAATAATAATAATAATAATAATAATAATAATAATAATAATAATTATAATAATAACAATAACGAGGACGATGATGATGATAATGACAATGACAATAATTGGAGATTATTGTCAAAATGACAACTGCAAGGCCTACTCAAACAACGTGAAAACGTGAAAATACTGTATTTACGATATTTCGACTGGCAAATACCAGTCTTCATCAGGTTGATTAGAAAGATCACGAAATTACAGAAATATATATGCGGTACTACAATGAGCAGAAATGACGTAGTATGGTGTTTCTACTTTAAAAAAATGTATAAGATTACAGTAAAAACAAATTAAGATATATACCGTGTGGCACGAAATTTTTGCAGGAGATTATTTTTGCGGATTGGCGATTTTTTGTGTTTTGCGGTAACTAATTTTTGCTATTAGGACAGATTGGTTTTTCTAGCTGGGAATAAATTTTTGCGATTTTCAGAAGGTACCCAGTACCCAGCATTGATAACATTTTCGTTTTTATTGAGTGTGTGCAATAGAAATGCATATTTCCAAACAATAAACCAGTATTTCGTTGTTTCTGAATGAAAGAGACAAGTTGTGATTGAACAGAAACGATTTCTCAGTACTGTATTTTTGGGTAGCGAATTTAAGTTAGAGAATATTTCCTCTGGAACTAAATATGGTGGCGAATAGATCAATTTCGATATATTAAAAGTCATACTTGGTCGTAAGGCTTGGGGGTATAAGACAAAAAAAGTCATCTTGAGGCTCAACAATGAATAATACATTTCTTTTGTTTTATTCCCCCAAGCCTTGGTGCCAAGTATGAATTTTAATACATGTATGTCGAAATTGGCCTAGTATAAATCATCACGCCTATTAATGCCCAGAGGCTCATGGGTCCTTCCTTTATGTACGTAATACGCTTCGTGCGCCTTCCTGATAATGATAATGATAATGATGATGATGATAAAAAATGAAAAATATCTAAAAAAAAATAGTATACTATTTACTTCAGAGTGTTTCATTCAGTGTATTGGTTGCTCTTTTTCGTCGGTAAAGATCCTTGATTCTAGGTTTGTACGTGACGTAACTCAAAGTTTTACTGAAATTAAGAATCCTCAACCCTTCTGAGACTTTAATTAATTGTCTAGTAAAATTGAAAATACTTACTGTGAAAGAGCTCCTAAGCATGACTGACTCTTTCCACCAAACGTGTTTTAGCCTTCGTAAACTATAAAAAAGGGGATTTAGTCACTAGCCCCTTCATCTGCTTCATTTTGTCCTTAACTGGTAAAGTCTGTTTTGAATTATTCGTGGTGTGGATTTAGCAAATGTTTCTTTCACTGAGGGGTCACGTGGTCTTGTGCTGTACAGCCATTTCCTGTAGTTTCCTATAAATTGACCTCTGACAAGAGAGAATGATCTTGCTCATTCTCTCTTGCCTCTGATCGGTATGGTTCCATAGTTTTCTCCAAAGTGTTGGATCTGAATTACTTTTATTTAACAGTATGAAAGGGTAAGAGATTCCCTGCTATAGTTTTGACATGCTGGACCCCAGCTTTTTTGCGTTGCTTGCAGGATATTGAAATTCCTATTAAAGCTGCCCTACTCAGGGGCACCCAACGACTGTTTCTCTGTTCGGAGACGGTGAGGGTAAAAGGAGGAATGAGCTTGCGGAATGGCATGTGGCATGGCTTGCGGAATGACATAATTATGCGGAATGTAATATATGCAGAATGACTTAAAGAAATAAATAAAACTGAAAATTGCGCCTTTTTTGGCGCCAATCAACTCACAAACAGCCGCTTTTTGATGTTGCGGGCGCGGATGACAATCAAAAAGCCAGGAAAGACTCTTTGACTTCTCACGGTCGATTAGCTTTTCGCAGAGCCACAAAGATTCTACAAAGATTCGCAATTTTCCATGAATTAAATTCCGCAAAATTATGTCTTTCCGCAAGCCATGCCATATGCCATTCCGCAAACTCTTTCCGCCTTTTACCCTTACCGGTTCGGAGAAGCAAAAATTGCCTCGAATTTTCTCTTACTTGACGGGAAGGTTAAAAAGTTCTAAATGACCGTTCCATTTATAAACTATTTTCGAAGCCTTATCTAATAAATTCTTTATGATTTTCTAAGTTAGTTTTTCCCATTTGACACCCCAGGTTAAGCTATTTTTCGCAGAGAAAGGAAACCTAAAATTTTCGGACCGAAATGGCGATGAAGGGAGGAATCAGAAAAATTCTCACTTACGTAAAACTTTAAATTGTATCTAAAATTTTCGGGAAAATAATACTGAAGCCCTTATAATGACCGAACAGATGCTTTTATCAGTAGTAGACTGGATTATTGTAATAACCTTTTGTATGGAATCCCGGAATATCAGACTATGAAACTGCAGCGTGTTATGAATGCGAGTGCAAGACTTATATATCATGCGCACAAGCTCTGTCATATAACACTTCTACTCTACATTGGTTATCAGTGCGCTCCAGGATACATCATAAGATACTCTTGATAACTTTTAAAATTTTGCATGGCCTATCACCTAAGTACCTTTCAGATTTAGTTAGTATTCAACAGCCTTCGTCCTACCATTTGAGGCGCAACGACAATGGTCGTTTGTTGGAAAGACCAAGTGTGAATACTAAGAATACATTGGTAGACAGAGCTGCTCCTTTCCTATGGAATAAGCTGCCAAGGTCCGCGCGCGAAGCAACGAACTTAGAATCTTTTAAGACTTTAATTAAAACATTTATATTTAAGGAATCATTTCAGTTATCTTAGTATATCTATATCTTTATTTGTAATTATCTTTTACTCATTTAATGTAAATATATTTTTTTGATTTTGATAGAAAGATTTGTAAAATTTTAGTTATTAATTACTGTTGTAATGCGCTTTTGAATATAGAAAAGGCGCAATACAAATAATAAATGTTATTGTTATTGTTAATGACCGAAGAGAAAATTTTTTTTTAGCGCCACTTAGAATACATTTCTAGAGATCTAAAAGTACTCTGGATAACCTAAAATGTGTCTTCAAATGCATTTTGAAGGAACCCGTCGTTGGGTCAGCCCTTGCCTACTCTGGTATGTTGCATACATCAGTCTCCAAGCCCTTTCATGTCAATTACAATTAATAATGCGAATCGTAAGACTGGAGTCCGATGATGTAATTATTCCTCTATTTGCAGTTATTGCCGTGGCAGTTGCTTGCCAGGGAGAAACATTTCTTTAACTGTTTGTTTTCGTTTTGTGGCAAGAGCGGTACAACCGTCTCTGACTAGACGCATTTATCGGGAATTAACTGTTAAACAACCAATTACAAAGGGTGGGTTTGGGATCCACTTGCGCGTGAAGGAGATGATGAGCATAGTTAAAAATATCTGCTGTTTTCTGTGGCAAAAAAGAAATAGTCGCAGCACAACAGAAACTCTCTTCAATGGCTGTTAAGCACATGCACCCTCTAACAGATAATGACAAAGTTGTCTCTTTGCCAAAAAAATCAATTCTGAGGTTCCACAATATCCATGTTTTTCAAAACTTTCGTAGTACAATCTAAGACACCCTAGTTCCCCCCTACAGACGTGCTCTTCCGGTCTCGTTTGGTTCGCCTCATCCTTGGATCGCACCTCCCCGTAAAAAATCCTGGGCTTGTACAGTTGTTATTTCTATCGCTTCTTTGTTTTAATAGTTTGGTCATTTCGTTTCATGATCTGCTGTTAACGAGGTCACAATAGCTTGTGAAGCAAGTGATCATGAGCTCTTCAACTAACGCTTTTCCACATCACGATCGAAGCGCGTAATTACGTATCACATATTTTATGGTTCCTTTCAAATTATTTCTACAATTTACATAAAAATTTATTGCTTTTCCGTGGCCATAAAACTCAAAATAGAAAACAAAAAAATAATAACATTTGGGTTTGACTCGAGGATGGCTCGTGCCTAGCTTGTGGTTGACTCGGGCTGGTGAAATGACCAAACTCAGCTGATGTGTTGTAAAAGGTAGTTCAGTTTAGGTTTTGCGGACGGGTTCGATCACCAAAAGGCACTGAAGAATAACTACATCACAACACAGTACCTTATCAACACCGTGGCCAAGGAGCACGTGCGTAAAAGGTATAGTTTTCGCGAAAATTCGTCTGCGACAACATCTTTTTCTTTTCATATTAAAGCAGCCGGATAAACAAGTCATGCAGATCCATGCACTATAAGAGACTGCAAGAAAAAGAATATTTATAACTATTGGAACAATTACATATTAACAAAATTTTGCAAAAGAAAATAGTAATTTCCCTTGATTGAGTGGAAGGCAATATGGTCTGAAAATCTTGCGAAAATCACTTGAGCGATAAAATGTCATAATGTTTTTAATTCCTTCTTTCCAGAAGTGCTATTGTTGCCCTAACTGACCATGAAGACTCTAGCTTTTCTGTTAATGGCCCTGATGTTCGCTGGAAAGGCCGAGACTCAGCCGTCTTGTCCGCCGCCCTGCTGGGGTCCCTGTAGCCGTAAGTATGGACTCTTCCTAAATAAAGTACCCTGGCAACAGGAGGTTACGTCGCTTCTACCGTACCAAGGGACAAGGCCAATAAAAATTCAGATGTTTTTCAAAAGGACAAATCTATGTTCACACCATGCCAGCGACTGAAAAACAAAACAAAAACAAAAGACTTTGTACTTAGTGACAAACCATTTATCACGAGGCACTACGCACTGAGTGGCCTAGCGGTAAGAAGAATATGATACTTCGAGTATTAAAATATGTATCCGAAATTAAAACTCCGGAAAAATCTTGCAAGGCCTGTTTTTAAGAAATAAATAATACAGGTTGGACAGTAAGGACAGGTTGAACTGACGATAATCTTGTTGATTATAAATTGACTGACAATCGCAGATCACTCGAACTGTTAATTGCTCGAACTATGCACCGTA